TGCAAAAGAGGTTGAGTGACTGGCCCAAGTTCTCTAAGCTTTTTCCACAGGACCAATGGGGTTCGTTTGCTGGTCAAGGGAAAAGCCTTTAAAAAACAGTACTGGGAAAATGACACTTGCACAGGTGAATGAATGTCTAATGGTTCAAGTTTAGGCATCAGTGGAGGGAGGTATAAAAATCTAGCTCCTCAAATCACACTTCAAAGGCAACCACCAAGTCTTAAAAATAAAACTCGCCCTGCATGGCTGGCTTGTGTGGGAGACAGTTCATGGTCTTTTTTAGGTTGGGCAAAAAGGACTGGCACATTAACACTGAGAACAAGGAATTCCACTGAAGGTCACCTAGAAGTGGAGAACAAAGGAGTAGTACTTAGGTCTCCTGACCCATAAAACTTTTCTCAACCAGTGAACCAATGTTTATTGGGAATCAGTTATGTGACTGCTACTATGATAACGTATACTAGGGAAGTTAAGATACACAAATCTTATATATTAAAGCATTTATACTAGCATGTACGTGCACACACAAAAGGCCATTTAAAGGAACCTGCAGACAAAGAAAACTTCAGAGAAGTAGCCAGCTAAATTAGGATGAAGGCATTGTGGCTGAGATGTTTTGTGGGGCAGATCTGTAAGAAAAGTGCTGCAAATTGTCTTGGTTCCTTCCAACTAACAATGTTTCATCTGTTTGTAGTTAGTGAGTGTCATTTAGGTTTTCCACCTCTAGGATCTGAGATAAGAACTAGGAAACTCTGGGGAAATGGACTTGTTTAATGACAGTAGCAAAGGGAGTAATTAAACAAGCTCATTTAGCTGAGAAATTCTGTGATTTATGAGATACTAAGGAAACGGGGTCTCCCAGTAATGTTAGGAGCTTGGGAGTGTGGACTTGTAGATTTCTTGACCAGCTCTGTCCTTGTTATGCAGAGTGACCTTAAGACCTTCACCCTACCTGATTCCCTTCATTTCCTGCTGATGCCTGGGCAGCTCAACCCTCCCCTTCCAGCTGGGGGCCCAGGCTCCACCCACCTTGACCCTTCCTGTCACACATGCATTCAGAGTGGACCTTGTTTCTTTCTGAACAGGAAGTTGGGTTTTTTTTTTTTTTTTTTTGGTACCAGGGATTGAACTTGGGGCACTTAACTACTGAACCATATCCCCAGCCCTTTTTTATTATTTATTTATTTATTTTTAAATATTTATGTAGTTGTAGATGAACACACAGTATTTTTATTTATTTTTATGTGGTGCTGAGGATTGAACCCAGTGCCTCACACATGTGAGGCAAGCATTTTACCACTGAGCTAGTTCCTCAGCCCCTTTATTTTCTATTTTGAGACAGGGTCTCACTCAGTTGCTTAGGGCTTCACTGAATTGCCAAAGCTGGCTTTGAACTTAGAATCCTCCTTCCTCAACCTCCAGAGCTATGGGGTTTACTGACATATGCCACCACACTTGGCGGAACAGAAAGCTTTTTTCAAGAGACTAAGGAAAAAGAAATTGTGTATGCTAGCCATCATATAACACGTGTAGGGTATCTCAGTGTCCCTTATTTCATTTTATTGCTCTGTATGTATGCCTGTCAATATCAAACTCTGTTTCATGTGGATGTGTTGTAGTTTAACAAAAGCTGGAGCAACCTTCTTTTCTGTCATGGACCCGCAACAGACCATACGATGCCCTCTGCAATTAATATTGATTGGATTATTAATAAAATTGCCCATTTTGGAAAGTGATGCTAGCTACCCACCCAGCAGTTTTAGATCTTTAGAGTGGGTTTAAGCCACATAAAAGTGAAGTGTTAACTTACATAACACTTTTTTTGTGTGTGGTACTGAGGAATTCCCAGGGATGCTCTATCACTAAGCTACATTCCCAGTTCTTTTAAACAATTTTTTTTTTTTTTTTAATTTTGGGAGAGGATCTCACTAAATTGCTCACACTGGTCTTGAATTTGTGATCCTCCTGCCACAGCCTCCCATGTAGAGGATTACAGGCATATGCCGCCACACCCAGCCCCCAAACACTTGGCTATTAAAACAAAAAAATCTTGTAAGTTCTTGGTTTTTTTTTTTTGTACCACATGAATAAACTTCAATACAACTTACATAAACCCACAAATACAATACAATCGTAAAATGTTAGGCAACTACAGTGTCTAAACTTGACATTTTTGATTTTGTTTTCAAAGTGAAAATACTGGGCTAGGGATGTAGCTCAGTGGTAGAACACGTGTCCAGCATGCACAAGACCCTGGGTTCAATTCCCCAGCACAAAAATAAATAAATAAATAAATAAAAGAAAGCATCTCCTTTTTTTTTTCTGACAAAGTAACTCAATATCACTTGATCAAAGTTAGTAAAAGTTTTCTTAGAAAATAAACATAGCTTTTTGTGTTCTAGAGTCTGTTTTAAGTGTAGTTTATACATTATACAAATGATATACTTTATATTTCTCTTTGTATTTTTCAATATGGATATATTTCAGGATATATTTAAACATTTTACATATTATACTCTTTGGTAATAATAACTGCCATTTACCAACCACAAATTGTGTGCCATTCAGTTCACATTTATTGGTTTCTTTCTTTCTTTCACTGGGGATTGAATTCAGGGTCTCTTGACCACTGAGCCACATCCCCAGCCTTATTTATTTATTTATTTTTTTCTTTTGGTGGGGAGTTACTAGGGATTGAACTCAGAGATTGAACCAAAGATATGGCTCAGTGGTCAAGTGCCCCTGTGTTCAATCCCCTGAACTCAGGGGCACTCGACCACTGAACCACTTCCCCATAACTTTTTTGTATTTTACTTAGAGACAGGGTCTCAATGAGTTCTTAATGCCTCGCTAAATTGCTGAGGCTGGCTTTGAATTCCAGATCCTCCTGCCACGAGAGGCGCTGGGATTATAGGTGTGCGCCACCGTGCCCAGCCCCAGCCCTATTTTGTATTTTATTTAGAGACAGGGAATCACTGAATTGCTTAGTGCCTCTCTGTTGCTAAGGCTGGCTTTGAACTTGCGATCCTCCTGCCTCAGTCTCCTGAGACACTGGGATTATATCCCAGATGAATTCTTTTTTTTTTTTTTTAATATTTATTTTTCAGTTTTTGGCCGACACAACATCTTTGTTTGTATGTGGTGCTAAGGATGGAACCCGGGCCGCACACATGCCAGGCGAGCGCGCTACCACTTGAGCCATATACCCAGCCCCCAGATGAATTCTTATCAAAAGACCTCCATTGGAGCCAGGTGTGGTAATGCATGCCTGTAATCCCAGTGGCTTGGGAGGCTGAGGCAGGAGGATCACTTAGTGAGGCCCTAAGTAACTCGGTGAGGCCCTGTCTCTAAATAAAATACCAAAATAGGGCTGGGTATATGGCTCAGTGGTCAAGTGCCCCCTGACTTCAATCCTTGATACCTTCCCTCCAACCAAAAAAAAAAAAAAAGGTGGGAGGGCGCTGGTGATGTGACTCAGTGACAAAGTGCTCTTGGATTCAATCCACAGTACCAAAAGAAAGAAAGAAAAAGACCTCCACTGGGCTGGAGGTAGGGCTTAGTGCTACAGCAATAGTGGGGCACTAAAGCAACTCAGTGAGACCCTGTCTCTAAATAAAATACAAAATGTGGCTCAGTGGTTGAGTGCCCCTGAGTTCAATCTCTGGTACCCCTCCCCCCCCACAAAAAAGAAAACCTCTACCTCATAAAAGTCTTTTTTGTGGGGGGGGGCACTGAGCCCAGGAGCAAAAGGTCATGGTGAGGGCTGGGATGTGGCTCAGTGGTTGAGCACTTACAAATACCTCCCCCCGCGCCGCCTGGCAACACACACACACACACACAAAGACATGATAGCCGGCAGGAATGGAGATCTTGTATGACTCTCCACAAAATGAACGTACAAAGGCTCACCTCATCACCACCACTACTCTCAGCACAATTTGTAGCATGTCAATTTTCAGCCTCCCCTATGATTCTAGTCACTGGGGAGATAAGCCAATTACCTGTTGTCAAGTTTATGACATTAGACCCTTTCCATCATGAAAAGAGTGCCTCCTATTTTCATTGGAATAGACCCTTATCTATTCATGTTTGTTTTCTTTGATTCTGCTGAAGATGAATGTGAAATGTATGAATTCCTCAAAGATCATCAGGTGGGGACTGGAGGTGTTTGGAGCCTCTTATTGCCAAAATACACTAATAGCTAAGAATCAGGAGGTAGAAAGTAGGTACTTTTTTTTTATATATATATATTTTTTGAGATGGACACAATACCTTTATTTTGTGTATTTATTTTTATGTGGTGCTGAGGATCGAACCCAGGGCCTCACACATGCTAGGCAAGCGCTCTACCGCTGAGCCACAACCCCAGCCCAACTTTTTTTTTTTTTTTTTTGTCACCAGGGATTGAACCAAGAAGTGATGAACCACATCCCCAGCCATTTTTTAAAAATACTTTATTTAGAGAGCATCTCACTAAGTTGCTTAGGTCCTCACTAAGTTGTTGAAGCTGACTTTGAACTTGCGTTTCTCCTTTCTCAGTTGCTGGGATTATAGGCATACTCTACCATGACCAGCTGAAATGGGAAAAATTATACCTAATGACCTATTCACAAAATTTTTGCCTCCTGTTCCCATGAATCTGTTCTCTGTTGACTTCAAAGTTTTATTTAATTATTTATTTTATAAGTTCCTTGAAATTATGTTATTGGGAGGTAAACAAGATACAAATTATATAAACTTATCTAAAGCAGTATTAATGGTACATACTTAAACAAGTGGTAAATGTGATGGGAAGAAACATTTTTAGTAAAATATGTGTGTATGTGTGCATGTGTATGATTATTCGATGTGCATTCTAGCTTTATAAAAAAATACAGAACGGTGTGGTTGGGGCTGTGGCTCAGCTATAGAGCGCTTGACTAGCACATCCTCAGCACCACATAAAAATAAATAAATAAAATAAAGGTATTGTGTCCATGTACAACTAAATTTTTTTTTAAAAATATATGGAACGCTTTAGGAATTGCCTGTCATCCTGTGCAGGGACTGTGCTAATCACTGTATCCTTCCAATTTTAGTATGTGTGCTGCCAAAGCAAGCACAACTTCAAGATTTTCACACCCAAGTGAGGAATGGAATGCTTCCACCAGGAGACATACTTAAATGGGAGCTAATATTACCACCTGTGTTTTGTCTCCTTGTGTCATCAGGAAAAAAAGAAGGGTGGACCTAGGCATGTACTGCACATGACTGGGGTCGCTGACCTCAGTTATCAAGTATCGTTGCTGGAGGACACTATGGGTAGGGAGGAGGATGGCTTCTGGGAGCTCCTTCTGGGAAGTGTAAAGAAGAGGGCTGTGTGTGCCTACTGGGCAATAAAAGAGTGGGCGATAGGGGACTTAGGCCATTGCTCTGGTTGCCTGCTCCCAAATTCCCTATCCTATTTGTGTCTTTTCCAATGAGAGTGCCTTAGTGGAGTAAAGACCCTAACCTCCGCTGTAGCAGGAGGCATACCCTCTTCATTCTTTGAGGGGATGGGAACTACATATTGAACCCAGGGCCTTGTGCAGGCTAAGAATGTGCTCTACTGTTGAGCTACACGGGCAGTACTCTGTTTTCCCCTTCCCGCAGGGAGAGTGCATGGGCATGTACCTGCACATAGCTAGTTTAGTCAGTTGTAAATCCCTGCCTTTGAATCTGGAGGAAGTGCCAGCTATGAAGAGAAATGCAAGCAGGTGTCCCTTAGGGGCAGTGCCTGAAGGGGCTTGTCAGCCAGACTCTTCTGCAGGCAGGTTAGTGTTCTGAGTGCCTGAACAACCGTGGTTCTGGCCCATTTTCTTTTCTTTTCTATTTGTCTTTTTTTTTTTTTGTATCAGGGATTGAACTCACTGAGCTGCATTCCCAGCCCATTTGATTTTTTATTTTGAGACAGGGTCTCTCTAAGTTGTTTAGGGCCTTGCTAAGTTGCTAAGGCTGGCTTTGAACTTGTGATCTTCCCACCTCAGCCTCCCAAGGCACAGATGACAAGTGTTCACCACCATGCTGGGCTTCTGGCCCATCTTATAAACCCGGTTCTCTAGTCTTCCTGGAGATTGCCTTTTGGTCAGTTTATTTTGGGGGTTACTGAGGATTGAACTGTGGAGTCTTTATCTCTGAACTATACCCCCCAGTTTTTCTATTTTAATAGATTTATTTTATTTTATGTGTGTGTGTGTGTTACTGGGGATTGAACCCAGGACCTCATGTATGCTAGGAAAGTGCTCTACCACTGAGCATACTCCCAGCCCTTATATTTTTTATTTTGAGAAAATGTCTAGCTGATTGCCCAAGCTGACCTTGATCTTGTGATTCTCCTGCCTCGACTCCTGAGAAGCGGATTACAGGTGTGTGCCACTACGCATGCCAGTTAATTCCTCCCTTGCTCAAGTTATCCATGGTCTGTTCTGATGTTTTCAGCCAACAGCTCTCACTGCTACAAGGGAGATGTGAGCACAAACAAGTTCACCTTTTTATATTGTGATTCAGACCATTCATGCTTCCCCCCTCCTTACCAGAGCACTCCATGTTTTTACAACTTCATCTTTGTATAGAGGATAGAATAGATCCTGTAAATGAAGAACTGGGAATGTAGCTCAGTGGTAGAGGGCCCTGGATTCAAGCCTCAGTAGGGGGGAAAAAAGATTAAAATCACACTTCTTTGAGGATTTCCTTGGAATCTATGACCAAAAGTAGATGTAATTATGAATAATGACTTGGAAGATGGGGAGGCAAGAGACCACTGTGTCGGGGAAGGAGAAGGCAAAAGGAGGAGCACACAAGATGCAGGAAGGAAAAAAGGAGAAAAAGAGAAACTTCTCTAGAAGAAAAGAAATGGAGAAAGCAGCTGTTTGAGAAGGTAGGGGTCATAAGACCCCTGGTTTCCATCTGCAACACCACAAAAAACAAATAAATATATGTGTGAGGTCCTAGGTTCAATTCTCAATAGTAAGTAAGCGAGTAAACAAACAAATAAACAGGCTGGGGTCATAGCTCACTCTTAGAGTGCTTACCTGGTGTGTGCAAGGCCTTGGATTCAATCCACAGCACCACAACAAAGGATTTATTCATCATTTCTTTTTTTGTTCTGGAGATTGAACCCAGGAGGATATCATTAAGCTAAGTTTCCGGTCTATTATTATTATTATTATTATTATTATTTTGAGACCAGGCACTAAGTTGCTGTAGCTGACCTTGAAATTGTGATCTTCTTGTCCCTGTCTCCAGAGTGCCTGGTATTACAGGCATGTACCATGGTACTGGATATACATTTCTTTCTTTTCTTTTTTTTTTAACTCCTATTTTGAAGATGGGTTTTAGTTCATAATTATATACCAACTCTAAGGAAGTCGGGGCTTTTTGTGTGTCTGTGTGTGTGTGTTGTTTTTTTTTTTTTTTTGTTTGCTCATGAGTACATTTAGTTACCCTTTATTTGGGGAGATGGCAGCCAGACCCAGAGGGTGCTGAAAATCTCACTTGTTAGCGAGATAAACATCAGTTATTGTCACCCCCTCTTCTAGATGATATGGCAGATTTTGTGAAGGGCAGGCCTCACTGGAGTTCAGCTTTAAACAAAGTGAAGGGGAATCATTGTGTCAAGGATATTTTAATTGGCGGCTGTATTGTGTGGACTCATTAGATAATTGCCAACCTTCTCCTTCACTTTGTGCTGTACAGACCTGGCTATGGAAGAAAGCGAAAGCCCTTGGAAAAGAGATTAGTAAAAGGAGAATCTGTGGGGCTACAGAGCCCCCCAACCAGGAGGGCCAGACCTGGAGGGAGGAGGGGAATGGGAAACAAAAGGCCTGGGGCTAGGAAGGAAAAAGAAAAGTAGAAAGCACTGGAAGGACTCTGGGTGGAGGTAGTATTGGAAACTACCGCAGAAATCAAGGCTACTGGGTGCAGAGGCACATTCCTGTCATCCTAGCTACTAAAGAGGCTGATGTAGGAGGAGAGCAAGTTCGAGGCCAGCCTCAGCAATTTTGAGAGACCCTATCCAAAAATAAAAAGGACCAAGTATATAGCTCAATGGTAAAACACCTCTGGCTTCAATCCCCTGTACCAAACATCATCAACAACAACAAAAAAAAAAAAAAAAAAAAAAAGAAAAGAAAGGAAAAAGAAATCAAGATTCGGAGAGGAGGCTGGAGATGTAGCTCAGTCAGTTGAGTGCTTGCCTAGCATGTTCCATCCCCAGCACCACCACACACACACACACACACACACACACATAGACTGAGAGAAGACAAAGAACAAGTATAAATGTCCAGATAGGGATCAGGACAAATAAGAGAATCCTTTGCTAGAAGCCCATAGTCAAAGAGAATGGCCTACCACAGAAGTGGAGGCTAGAGGGGCCTCCTCTAAGAGATGACTCAGGTCAAACCCAATCCTTAGTCCAAAGGACTCCTGAGAAGGGGGAGAGCCAGCAGGGGGCTGAGGGGAGCACCTTATCCTCACCATGGGAAGGAGGCACAAGTTGGTGATTCTGACCTCAAAACAGAGAACCTGGTCTCTCAGAGACACAAGGGAGGGATCCAGAGGAAGCCCAGGGAAGTGACTCATGACCATATCATGCCAGGATGAGGATAATCATGGATGGAGACTGGGAAAGGAGACTAAGGTCACAATAACAGGAGGGGAGCCTACCTAGCTCAGGAGCAAATGGACCATAATTATAAATAGGTTGGGGGCGGGGTGTGCCTTAGTGATTGAGCACTTACCTAGCATGCATGAGGCCCTAGGCTCAATCCCCAGAACTGCAAAACAAAACAAAACCAAAAAACAACCAAATAAAATTTAAAGAAAAACAAAGACAACATTATTAGTGGTGGATTCCTCTTCCTCCCTCGTTGGAAGTTTTCTTTAAAAGTGAATATAGCTGGGAAAGGTGGCACATGTCTATAAACCCAGTGGCTGAGGCAGGAGGATCACATGTTCAAAACCAGCCTTACCAGCTTATGGAGGCCCTAAGCAATTTAGTGAGACACTATCTCAAATTAAAAAAAAAAAAAGAAAAGAAATTTTAAAAAGGCTGGGAATGTGACTCAATGGTTTAAGCACCACTGGGTTCAATCCCTGGTACCAAAAAAAAAAGTGAATATAACCTGGCACACACCTGTCACAGCCTCCCAGTGACTCAGGAGGCTGAGGGAGGAGGATTGCAAATTTGAGTTCAGCATCAGCAATATAGCATGATCCTACCTCAAAAAATAAAAAGAAGTGGGCATGTTCAACCCCAATACTATAACTGAAAGCTGGGTCCTCATCCTTGACACCAATCCAATAATGAAGAAAAGGTCTTAAAAAAAAAAAAAAGGAAAAAGTTGTATTGCTTTGCTAGCAAAGGAGAAACACAGGGGACTCCTGTCCCAAAGGCTGTGATTCTGCCCATCAGCAGGAATATAGGTGATTCTGAGAAAATGAGATTAGGAAGGAGAGACCAGTAAGGAGAAGATCATGGAAAAGATGATCAGGGAGGAGAAATTTAGGGAAAAGAAGATCAGAGAAGATCAGAGAGGAGATCAGGAAGGAGAAGTTTAGGGAAAAAAAGATTGGGAAAAGGAAAAAAACACATAAATTTCAAAGCCACAAAAGGATATGGTCAAAGCATCAAGTGAGGGGCTGGGGATGTGGCTCAAGAGGTTGCGCACTTGCCTGGCATGCGTGCGGCCCAGGTTCGATCCTCAGCACCACATACAGACAAAGATATTGTGTCCGCCAAATACTAAAAAATAATATTAAAATTCTCTCTCTCCCTCTCTCTCTCACTCTCTCTCACTCTTTCTTTAAAAAAAAACAAAAAACAACAACAAAAAAAACTCATCAAGTGAACCCTGTTCCAATACCAAAACAAAACAAAAACAAAAGTGAACATAGGGCCGGGGGCAGTATTGCACACCCATATCTCAGCTGCTTGGGAGGCTGAGGCAGGAGGATTGTGAGTTCAAAGCCAGCCTCAACAACAGTGAGGCACTAAGCAAATAAAATACAAAATAGGGCTGGGGATGTGGCTCAGGGGTCAAGTGCCCCTGAGTTCAATCCCTGGTACCCCGCCCCCCCCAAA